TTCTCCATATTTTTCTTTTCGGTACTGCTTGTTCATTATTAATTCTCTTTACACTAATAGAATGATTATTCGAACCACAAGAAGTATCTCCTCTTCTTGTTGAAGATGTTCATGTATTCATATTTAGCTATAGATAGAAACTTTGCGTGTTACTTTATAAATTGGAAAACTTAAGAGAGAAAATATCTCATAATTTGGTAAACGGCCATAAAATAATATCTGCATATCCTTCAGAGTGGCGGGGCAAGACCTTAATTTAATGTGGACACAAAACATTTTTGCGAGGTCCTTTGGTGGCGTAAGAAGACGGATTTTATATAGAGAAAAAATTTAAACTTAAATTTTTATTCATGAAAATGAAAACGTCTACACTTTAACTAACATTAATATTAAGTAATAGTTATTAACAGTAAAGAAAGAATTAAAGAATTAAAAAATAAAATTTTCCTACTTTCAGCTCTATTGTACTCCTTAATCAATCTATATCTATATATACATATGTATGTCAAAACATACCTAATTAAACAAATTTAAAAACGATTACAAAATACTGCCGAGTTGCTAATATATGTAGGAAATAATAACGAAATTATATTGCTTAATGAAAATGATAAAAAAATAATGTCATCAACCACATAAGTTTGGTTAAAATATAAAATTTTGCAAATCGGTAATATTAAAAAAATTGGGTATGTAAATTAAATTCGACAGCGAAGAAAGTTGACTCAAAAAATAATTTCGGACATAAATGAGCTTAACTCACCTTCATCTCATTATTACAGTTTCCATGGTGACAGCTTCTTTCTAATATGGAAAACAGTAATATCCTTGTGTCTCTTGTACATTCTATTCCATAGGCCAAATCCTTGGCTATAGCAATGGTCCCTATCCCCGTTTAAGGAGACGCCACTATCACCACTAGTAATCACATTGAATTTTCCCTCCTATGCATAACATTCCTTGTGTTTGTCGCATACTTTATAATTAAAATATTCCTTCTTCTGCACTACAAACGCAAGGCACAGCAGTCGTGCTCTGCGCCCCTAGCCTCAAGACCTGAAAACAGAAGAGGAACAAGGATGTTGTAAAAAACATTTAAGCGGTAATTTGCTACTTGAAGTGGAAATGTCCAAAATACAAATCTCTGAAAATTTGCTGTTTTATTATGATAAATATTTGGTTGTTTTTAAATGGAAGACACCACGTTTTTTTCTTAAACGTCTCTGTAGAGTACTGCCTTATATTTGTATAAACTTTAAGCTCTCAATATTCTTAAAACACATAATATAACAAAGTATTCCCAGTGGCATGCATATGAATTCAATTTTGTATTAGAAAATCCTTAAAACATTTTTGCTTTCACGAGAGGTCCGGTTTGCTTTTAAGGTGACCACATTGTTGATAGATAGTTCGGCCAAAGCTTTGTGATATTAGTCTTCCAAGGTGAATAGTGCTTGTCTGCTGTGTGTATAGATAAGCATGTCTCTTCCAGTGATATTATTTCTGGAAACTTCTTTTGCTGCTTTAAGGATTCCCGTGCACTCAATTTGAATTATACTGACACTATAAATTGATCACAGCCCATTTTATGTTAAGGTATATTTACTTGTTTTACAATCGTCGCGACGGTTCTAAAACAAAACAAGACCGAGGATGTGGGGTGTAGATATGAAACATGCCCACCACTTTTGGATCTTCTATTTGTTCTGTTATAGCATTATGTGACTTGTAGAAGATATCTAGGTGAGATGGAGTCTATTTGAAGTAGTGGAGGCGTATCGAGCGCCTCCCGCCAAACACGACAGCTCGTGTCATTAAATACTACATTGGGTTCTATTTTAACCGTGCGGAGTCATGTCATTATGATCAGGACAATCTCCTTGATGTAAATATCAACGGGAGTGAGACTAAGAATACCTTCAATGACTCTGGTTGGTGTGGTTTTCATGGTTCCTGTTATGTTGATATATGTTGTTCGTTAAATTTGTTTTAGTTTGCAGATAGCTATCAATTGTACGGTTTTAACTGCACCTTATGTTAGCAAATATATATTCTAATTATGACCATATAAGTCCATGTAACGACTCTGGGGGAGAAACCTTAGATGTGTCCCATGGTTCGGCGATATTGTTCATAAGCAATGTATCCTCTTTAACTTTGTTTTTTAGGTGTGTGTGTGTGAGTTCCATGTTAAAATTCTGTCGAGGGTAATTCACATCTGTTGCAGAGTTTAATTTTATGTTAAGGAGATCTGAAGGTTTTCGTTTCATTTTAATGCGGTAGTTCAGTGATGATGTAATTATGGTTCCACTGACAATTAAAGTGACAGTAGATTTTTTGAGTACGTTTTGTTCGTTTTGTTTACCTAAATTATATCGTTTTTTTCACTTTTATAAATATATTTCTAAAGTAAGTAGATAGCATGTATCAAATATACAATCGTTTATTTACCAATTACATACCTTTAAACTATTTTTTATGACCTGTAAACAATATTTTGAAATAAAATAAAAACAGTAAAAACGTATGTCAAATTTTTTGATGTTTTTGTTAAAAGTTTGGTTAGAACTAAATGTCAGTAGAACCAAAATGACATCACACTGAACTAGCGCATTAAGAATAATTTCTGTCTTCTTGCGATTAGTAGCTAGTAAATGGTTCTTGCAACACTGTCTATAATTTTGAGAGATACGTCTTCTTGCGATTAAGGGCTAGTAAATGTTTCTTGCGACACTGTTCTATAATTTTGAGAGATACTTGCATTCTTTCGCAGAGTATATTCTTAAAATTTCCTATTTGCAGAATGACGAGGGGCCTATTTCATAAAACTACTTTGTACTTCGCAAATTAACGAATGCAATATACTTGTGAATTATAAAATAATATCGTAATCTTTGCAGATTATTAATTTTTCAATTTTCAAATTGCTTTTCAAATTTTCTTTTTTAACTCGTCAATATTTTTTAAAAACAAATTTACTAAAATATGCAAAGTGAAGAGTTGCAACGCCCCAGGTCATTTCTATACGCTATTGTGTAGATAACTCCATTATTGAGGCGGCTAATGGGGGTGACAAGGACCTTGCCACGGTAGAGGTCATAGTACCCCTCTCAGTGGAGAGCCTCTCGCAACCAAGCCTTTTTTATTCACATATTCTACATTGTTTACTGTTTGTTTTAAAAGTATAATATGTATTCACCTCATAATCCTCTGCAGAACATTTAGGAAATGTTATCTTGTCAAAAGCACCTTCTATCTATGAAAACTCCCTAAGCGGACTCCTTATTTTCCAGTGATATATGTGGAGGGCTGAATCAGTAGATCTCTCTGGCGTGTATCCATGTTAATTTGAGTTTATTGGTGTTGTTGTAATCACTACATTTCTTATGTATCTTTCGCATAGTTTTTACAATATCTTCATGGAAAACGATTTCAGGCTAATTGACCGGATGTTTTTGGGTATAAAGACTACTTTTACTCTCTTCATTTTTTTGAGTTATACCTTAGAGCCAACAAGGATCTTTATATAGCTACCAGCTATGGTGTGAGTTCTTACAGATCTCACTAAAGTAGGGCAGGTCCTGGCGATTTAAGTGGAGAGAAATTAGATATTGTTCATCTAATTTTTTCCATGTCTATAATGATGTGTTTGGCAGTTGTTCAATCGTAGATGGATGGGTGGAAAGTGTGTTGACAGCAGACATTTAGTGCTATCTTCGAGGTTTGCAATTTTAAGGCAATTCTCTTCAATTAGAGTACCATTACTGTAGTGTGGATCTCTTGAGAATGTTTTTTGAAGCCTTACTTACTGTGGGAAATCTTTGATTTTTTAGCAGTAGGCTCTCTTTGTTTTTGTCTAATGACTTTTTTGTATTCTCTAAGGTGAGATTTGTAAGTGTCCCAATACTCTTTAAGTTTTGATGTCTTTACCTTATTAAAGGTTTTCCTAGCCATCTTATCGAGGTCCTGAACTAGTCATACCACAATGCGGTAATCGTCTGATCGTATCGCACCAGCCTTGGAGGGCAGGCGTTGTTTAGTGTGCTTTGGATAGTGTTCGACTACTTTTCCAAAACATTGTTATTGTTTGTTATTTAAACCTTTATCTTCCGCAGAGCCTGTTGGACAAGGTGAGCATATGATTCTCTGTCCGCCTTCCTAGGGTTCTGAGATAACGTGAAAGTCGGCAAGATCAAGTTTATTTTAAATATTTTCCAGCGGTGGTCTGACATGAAATGTCATCAGCACTTGTCTGTTTATAATAATTGATTTATATTCCTATACCAGCTGTAGATAAAGTGATATTTATTAGTGTTTGATTGCGAGAGTTTTATTCAAAATAAAAAGAGTTTTGGTAATTATATAATCAAAACTGTTCCAATTGAAGTGATAATCATTTGAGTCGCAACCTATTACCAGCTCAAACTTCTGATTTATATTCATCATCTAATTTTAAAGACACATTATTTTGCAAAAAAATAAATGTAAGTACTACTTGCCAACTAACTGTCTCTCATATTCAATATAGGTCTTTATATTTCATTTTGTACTTATTCTCATTTCACTCCACTGTGTCTTATGAGTCAATTTAGTTTTTATACTAATGAGGTAGGAGGTGCGAGTGAAGTGTAAAATATTTGCAATTTACATGATTACATCTAAAATAAGTCCCTTTTATAGGCACCAGCCGTGGAAAATTGTCTAACCAAGAACAACCGTATTAGGGAGGGGAGTTACTTTAAGTTATATTTAACAAACATAATTTGAAGTTACTTTTCGTGGACCAGACACACTTAAATCTAGTTAATATATGAATGTGTTTTGAAACAATGGCTCGTGACAACTCATAATTGAATACCTTGTTTATAGTTCAAATTTGAGGTGTCATTCATCAAATGTTGTTGTTCATGTAGATTCAGAATTACGACCTTTTCTCTATTCTCTTTTCTACTACGTTTAAATCAATTTACGAGCACTCATTTTTTAAACTTTGTTTTTAGAAAAGATTAGATGAGTTCGACTATGCAAAACCTATTAAAGGCCAGAAGAAAAAGGAATTTGGGTGCCACTGGCGAAAACACACTTTATCTTGGATGAATGTTAATGACGGAAAGGTAAGATATTATTTGTTTTCTATCCACAATGTTAATTAAGAATTAAATTGGCCTATGGTTATTAACTACCCAGCTAGCACATAACGTTGCCAAGCCTTTCGGCGGTGTTGTTTTAAGGAACGTAATAACATTACTATACAACGTAAATGCAACGTTCATGAGAAGTTGATGAGGGAAATCAAAACCTCGCAAAACTTATATTTGTTACTTACCTATTTAACCTACCTGTTATGTTAATACAACGTAATAAAGTAATTTGCTAAAAAAAGTACCCACGAGAAGTACTGTGAACATCACATTGTTTTCGAACGTAGCCGTTCGTTTATATCATAAGTCATTACAAAATATTACATAAAAAATTGTTATTTGTCACTTTTTCTTGTTTAAAATGGTGTATAAAATTAAAATTTTAATAATTTGTAAACTGGTAGATCAAATATAAACAAGCCTTTTAAAATTTTAAACGAAAAAGTCAATCAAGGTGAACGCAGCTGTTATATAATTGGAGTAGGATTGTTCAGCAGCACGTAAGCGGCTGGTAGTGGCGCGATTCTCATTTGGTCAGTAGCAATCGCAATGAGTGAGACGGAGGTACACAGCAGTGTTGCGCAAAGAATAATCATTAAATTTCTTACGCCCGAAAACATGAAACCTGCTGAAATTCTACGCAGATTGCGAGCACAATTCGGAAACAATACATCAAAATGCTGTACCTATGGTCACCCTAGTGTAATAATATTTTTAATCACTAAAATAGTTATTTATGCAACAAGTGCAAAAAGTAAGTGTTTATTGCACGCGACGAGTGCAATAAACACTTTTTGCACGAGTTGCATACAATATTTTTTCTACGTTCATGCAAAAACCAAAAAATGTTTTATAGAACTGCAGTTGTATTATCCAAATCAAAGTAGCCGTGATCGTGTACACCTTTATTTGAGGCATTTATTTACGTTTGTATTCATAATTTTTTGTGATATTTTTAATAAAATACATTTTTTTATTAATTTATTTAATAAATGATTGAAAATAATATAAAATATGCAATTGTTTTTAAAAAGTAACCAGAAAATGAAAATGGACTAAATATTTGGCGTTGATTTGAATATTTATGTTTGTCATGATCATTAAACGCTATAGTAGAATGACAGATGAGTGCAATAAAATTTGTATTGCACTAGTGCAATAAAGAACCAGTTTTTTCACTAAATATATTTCAATAAAGTTTTGTTTTTGCATGAACGTAGAAAAATACATTTTAAAACCCTTATAGTGTAGGTTTTCATTGTGCTAAATTATAATTCTAGTAAAAAACTCAGAAATTTTAGCAGCTAAAGTAACTCCTACAGAATTGGTTAAAGAATAATATATAACTTTGGAATTATTTATTTTTCTTTCGTTTTAAAATCAATCTCAAAATGAAGTACAGGTGTACCATCAGTCTATAGCAGAATATCGTGCTAAAAAACATTGTTTTTATAAAAAGCTCTGTACAACTTGGACATCCATTATTAGATATCAAATCTGTAAAATTCAAAATAAATTTCATTGTTTATTTATTTAAAATAACAAAGTAAGTAAAAATCAAATAAACATACAATTTAAACAAGCATATTTTTCAATTTCTATACATATACATATTATTTTCTTTAAACAAGTAAATTTATAACCATAGTATTTTTTCACAAAAGAAACTATAATTAAGTTTTTAACATTTATATAAAAACTATGATTAGTACCATTTTTAGCATCCTACAACTGTCATCTTGATAAAAATCTAGTGACCGTTGAAATAAACCTTACAGAAACAAACAAAAGTGCACATCAGCTCTACAATAATTTAAGAAAGAGATGGTTATTGAAGACTAAAGTCAAAGAGTTGAAAATTATTTAATAGGTATATCAGTACTTCGGAGATAAACTGTACTGTCATTCTAGTCAGAGTAGACTGAATGTTGGTTGAACACTTTTCGTGTTCTATATTTACATATAATAGTTATATTTCAACAAGAAATTCAGTAGGCCTCAATTATTGTCACAATATGTATTGTTTACTAATATTCTATTGAAACTTTTTTTAATATACATGAGTTGTTGGTTTTTGTAACATATTTCTATGTTCTGATAACAAATTTTCTATAACATACCTAGTGACTTATACCTCCAACATGCCTCTATAAATAGTACGACTAACGTGAGAGTTAAATAGTGTTGTTTAGCGTTTAAACATTTAATATGGTGTTCTTTTTTAAAGTCAACTTATATTGTGACATCACTGTGTACATAATATAGAATAACCCTGAAAAGGTCTCGATGAGCCGATTTAAAAAAAAACCTATAAAACTACACTGTCTACATAGTTTATCTCCCAGATAGATATTGGTAAATATTTAATTTAGTCTTCATGCTGTAGGTACATACCTAACATAAACACAACTATTAGGTTTCTTGAATTCATTTAGGCCACTGCAATATTTATATTTTATTTTCACTTTAAAAAACTGTAATAAAATCCTCAGTGCTATCTATATCAGTCTGACACTGTTTATCAGTACCTCTGGCATTTATAGATAGGGCATTTTTCTATAACTTTAAGGGAAAACCTAAAAAATAAACATTTATATAAAATTGTAGTACTACGGTCAAGAAATTTGGAAATAAACATAACCTCAACAAATAATAGTAATTTTTTACCTGTGACGTTTTTCGGTAACAATCGTTGAATTGACACTCATACTTCCGATTTATAAAGTCGCAGTTTTATTTGAACCTAATTTATAATACAATTCACAATTAAAATTGTCTCCCGTTGATTTTTAAAATTAACAGCTTGATTGGAAAGTTGGTTGGAAAGGTTGAGAAGTTAGAATATGAAGTAGGTAGATACAGAATAAGGATTATTTTGTGATATGACAAGTGAAGGTACTTTGCGTCATATTTTGTTTAATTTTAAGTTAATAATTTTATATTTGTAGAGTGATGGAATGAAAATGTTTTTATATCATTTAAATCACGCTATTTTAAAAAAATGGCATTTATTATCACCAAAACTAACTAGCTTGAGTTTGACATATGTCGTAAAAGAGTAATACAAAAGTGCAGACAGGTTTAGTACCGTCATTGCTTCTCTATATCTATTATTTGAAAGATTGGTATCCACTGCCCTACTTTGTGACGTCACGGTGTGCCTTGCGCAAATTAGGCTGATTTAAGTTATTTTACCATTATTTCACTACGTTTTAGGGATCTATTATCGCGGGACATCTCTTTTTAGCTAAAGATTTTCAAGTACGCTTCTCACTCCCGCGGGCTCACTTATAAAAGCGCGCCACGAAAACATGAATAGCCAGAGCGCAGTGGCGTACCCAAAAATACACGTATAAAATCTATAAAATTATTAAAATTAAATTAATATTGTTATGTTATTATTTTAAAATAATGTGTTTTTATGAAATGTAACCGGGTGTTCACTGCACAAATTAACCAATGGAGAAGCCGCCTCTGGAAGTGCATACTATTAAGAAGTCGAAAATTGAGTAATAGAGAAATCAACGAAAACTCATGACTGACTTAACTCATGTAAACGACCTGGGTTCCTGCTCTTTGCCAACTAATAATTGGCATGCAAGTGAGACTGACGCCATCTACTATATACGTGTAAATCGGTATTTAGATTCTTGTGAATCTTTAGAAGAATTCTTATATACCCTTCATACCTACTTCTGTCCAATTTTTCAGTGTTTTATAGGTATCTTATGGTATCGCACGTATGGAATTACGTTACTCTGTGATATTGGCTTGATTTCAAAAGAGTTTTATTATTAAATTTATACAATTTTTTATTTTGGTTCATTGAGATTTTACTATATACTATTTTACATAAACAAGAAAATAGTATGTCTACGTAAAAATTATTATTTTAAATTAAAAAAGTCATTTTTAAAAAATTCTCATGTGAATCGTATTTATTTAACATGCAAAAGAAATTATGAAGAATTACTTTGTTTTAATTAAAAATAAATATTTTTAAAAGTGTACATCCGTGGACACACTCTATAAATCCTGTAGAACTAATTCACATTATAACATCTCTAAAAAGTTTTAGAGCAATTTTTGGGGAAAGTACCGTTAAAGTGCTGGTGTGATGTTTTCTTCACTTTATAACCTCTATGAAATGCGTTATAAAAGTCTTTCCATTGCGGACATTCGGCGGTTGCACGGATATTAGAGTTACATTAAAAGTACATTGCATGCGAGCTTAAAGAGCCTAAAATTTCAGCTTATTAACGTAGATGGGATGTTTTTGTGCTAGCTGGGTAATTAATATGAACAAAAATTAAAGATATTGAATTACGCAGACAAATTAATTAGGGTTAAAATTGAATAACAAAAAAGGTGTATTCTCAGGACAGGCCATCACATTACGGGTCGGCAATAAAAACTACCTGGAACCGAGTCATTACGGGCTGCAATCTTTTTTCACAAAAACTAGATTCCCAAATAAATTTTTTTTTATGTATTATACTATCTATAACAACTGTCATTGTCATATTTAAATAAATTAATAAATGATTATCTGAAAAGGTTACTTGGACTTTGGGAAAAATATACTTTAATTATTAATAATTACTCAATAAGCTTTCGAAATTAATATAGTTTGTAGTTCTGAAAAAACTGTTGTTTTTAATAAATCGATGTCAGCCTTTTAGAAATAAATTGTATAAAACAACTGAAGTGTAGAGCTTTGCTGACATTCTGATCTTCCCTTAATTCAATAGGTATTTCGTTTAATTGTTTGTACCTTGAAACACGTTCTTTAGAATATATATTGTTTTCGATCCTCTGTTAAATTAATATAGTAATGTAAATTGTCATTTTTTAAATCCTGAATTAATTATATTTGGATTCGATTTTCCAATTGCATAAACCAAGTCTATGTTTTTGCAAAAATTAGTTCTCACATAATTTTAAATTCTGAATCGTCCTGTGCAGAAACGAGT